TATTTAGATGGCTGGAAAATCTAGAGGGTTACAAAGCATACAATTTATGAAGCTAGATAACATGTGGCAAAAGGAAATTGTCTTGACTCAAGCTGTATCAGAAGTTTCAGTGATTTCTTCAGCCTACGCTACTAAACTACACCTGTCATGCTAGCTGCTGAGTTCAAGATTTGATTTATAGAGTAGAGATTTGACAGGTTTATTACAGTCAAGAGTCACTAAGAAACAGCTGGGCAGCTATGAGTCATGAACATTTCCCTTGTCTGGAAATCAGCCGGTCTGTTAGACCTTGCTGTTTGAGAAAAGAACTCATAAACTTGGGAGCACACATTGCCACCTTTATCGTGACTATTTTACACATTTAGCTTACCTGTGTACTTTTTATAAAGCATGATTACATAGGTCTTATCATCCTAAATTTAAGCTGTTGAAACAGACATTAATGGCATATTACGGTACATCTCTAAAATTCACACAGTCAGGTTTGCATGATAGCGATTATAACAAATTTCTAACCAGTGCTCTACTGGGGCAAGACTTTGTTGTTTTGTTTGCTGTGCTATTTAATCAACTGTCTAGATTGGGCAAAAATGAAATAAACAAAAGTATTCACGGGCTTTCTTTAAGAATAAAGTGTGAGATATCGTTGGAAGAAGTCTTAAGGTGAGTCATGAAATGGAAGTAAAAACCACAAGAACAAACACTTCAATATCAGAACAAGGGACTATAAAATGCCATGATTCTGTTTTCATTTTATCTCTCATCTTCATTTCTGAATTCAAGTTTCTCCCTTGCTTCTTATTTCAGACAGTACTTGTCTACATCAGGAAACACTGCTGCTATGAACCTTGGTTAAGTAATTTCAGTAAAAAGTAATAACATTCCCTCTAGAGTTTACATATATCAGATAAAGACCCAAATAGGCTTTGTTTGAGCTAGAACAATCATCATTGTCAGAAAAAAAAATGCCGTATTATGTTTAGCCAATCTTGGATTATGTATTTATACAATTTAAAGAGAACTTACCAATGGAGAAATAGGAATAAGAAAGATATGGTTGAAAGGAAAACAACTATTCCGGCCTAATTACTAGTTGTGATTTTACCACTATACTAGGGAATAAGGCAGAATTTGGCAAACTTTTTAAAAGGATTAGGGAACATTTTAAGCCTGTGGCCACATACTGTTGTTTTTACTTCCTCTTCATGCTCTTCTCTTCTTTGTTACAACCCATTAAATATGCTTAAATCATTTTTAGCTTATGAGCCACAGGAATACATGCCTCAAGCTGGATTCACTTCTGAATATAGCTTTCTAAATAGGGATCCAAGACTGTGTCATTTTGAAACTGAGCATAATATTAAGCATAACAAGAACCAGTTAAATACATGTCAAGAATTTTCCAAACCCACTGCTAAATTCTCTCACTGAAGTCAGGGAGGGAACTAATACTACAGTGTCTGACTAGTACAATATGTGATTCTAGGAGTTTTTACATAATATTGCTTTAATTACTTAATAATCCATTGCTATAAACTTACTTTATACATTGCAAAATGAACATTTTGTTCTTCATCTATAGAGGGGAGTTAACAACTAGTGGGTAGATGCACTGTGAGAATTAAATAAGACAGAGATTGGTTTAGCATTCATCCTGTCCTGTTAACATTTTGTTTCTTTCAGAATGATGGGATATACTGCATAGAGCATGTGGCTTTAGAGCCAGATATACTTGGCATTGTTTTCTAGTATATATCTCTTGCCATTTTCAAGCCTCAGTTGGCTGATTCGTAAGATGAAGATTAATAAAATCTTTTAGGCAAGGCTTGTTACAAGAAGTACTATTTAAAATGTGCATTCCATGGTATGTGGTAGGTATTACTGCTTCCTGATATTTATCTTCTTTCTAAGCCACTGTGAACATTGTAAGTTTGCAAACCATGCCTCTAGTGAAATCTGAGTATTCCACTTTAGCCCATCTAGGGAGACAGCAATAGGACTGTGTGTGTGTGTGTGTGTGTGTGTGTGTGTGTGTGTGTGTAGACTTCTGAGAGAGTAGTGTGTGGAGAGTTAAGCAGAAATATTATTCAGAAAGAAATAGTGAGACTACTTCTTTGTTTTGACTGTCAGATATCTTTACTGGAAGCAGGGAGGGAAGATAATTATGATAGTATCCTAAAAACAAAACCAGGAAGAAGTGAAAAGAAATATAAAAAAAGGCTAAGGTAAAATGTAGTTTTTTTTTTTTTTCCTGGAGCTGGGATCTGAGTGAGGAAAAAGTAGTTATTGCTATGTTTATGTCACTGTGACAACCACGAATTAACTACAAAACATTGAACTCAAAGATTTACCCTAAGAACTTATGCTGACCAATCGGAAAGACTTTTGCCAGATGTTCTTAATAATTGTGCGAAAGCTCCCCCTTTCTCCCCAGGAAGCTGATTCATCTCTTTCAGCACTTTCTGTTGGGCTTGATGACTGATAAGGAGGGTGAGGCATGGGCTGTTTTTATGTCATCTCTCCCAACTGATTTTTATCCTGTTTTTATGGGTTTCTCTGTTGTGCCTCCTTGTGTCATAGCAGCCAGGGCATAACCTTTCAAGGAACTAGGTGGTCCACAATAAAAATAATAATAATAAACCTTAAATGCAATTCTGGCTGTTTCTCAGCATTTTCCTTCTTCTACTGTCTCCACCATGCTCTATCCCACCTCACTCTGTCATATATATGAATAAAACGGCTAAACATAAGAGGCAAACCAGTGGTCAAAGAAAGGCTTAAATTTTTCATGAACTTTGGTTTAGTAAGTCACTGCTTTCTCTGAGCCCCAATTTTACTATGTTCCAAATACGAATGTTAAAACTTTGACTGATCTTATAGAGATACTGAGAAAGAGGCAAAATATTCTGCAAAATTCATGTATTAGTACACACAAGGCTATACAGAAAGTAAAATTTATTAGCTGTTTCGTTAAGTGCTTACTATGAAATAGGTCTTCTCTTTAAAATTTTATTTTTATTTAAAATGCCATTGTATTTATCCTCTTCCTTCTTTCTCCAATCCCCATGTTCCCCAGATCTCTCTCTCTCTCTCTCTCTCTCTCTCTCTCTCTCTCTCTCTCATCTTTTTCTCCAGTTGTTATCATCATTCATTCATACACATGCATACACACACACTTATTCATATATATATATACAAATAAATATATAAATATAAATAAAATATGCAGGGTTACTGTATGTGTTGCTTGTATGTATGTACTTTTAGGGCTGGCTATTTGGTATTTAATGAGCAACAAGGGGACTAATCCCTGAGAAAAATTAATTCTCTTTCTATAAGCAGTCATTAATTATCTGGGACCATAAGACTGCCTCAATCAACATGACATGCCAACTGTTACTGGAATTTATTTATTCATTTCTTATGTAGCCAGTCATACTGTTGAGATTTGACAGTGATATACAGAAGACCAATCTCATGTCAGTCTTTCTGGTCCTCTGGCTCTGACAATCTGCCCACCCTCTCTTCTGCAAAGCTCCTCTCCTTGAGAATAAAGTAGAGGTTGCATTGTAGATGTTTCAACTGAGGCCAGGAACACCATGGTCAGTTGTTTTTCCTGTTTTAATAAAGTTTGGCTTTCTGCAATTATCTCCAACTTCTGCAAAAAAGGACTTTTAAATGAAGGGTGAGAGCTACACTTACCTAATGTTGTAATGGTAGAAAGAAGTTAGGAATTATACTGGTTTAAGAAAGTAGTAGTAGATTCTCCTCTATGATCCATGACCCTAGTAGCCACAGCTTATGGTCTAGGTTTACAGTACCAGATGCAATTTGTCTCCTGGTGAGCAGGCCTAATGACCAAATAGAGAGCTGGAGCTACTGCCAAGATACAAGCTCTATTGTTGTGCTGTTAAGGATATCCTTAGTGCTAGTGATGCTGTGATTCATAGGCATCTTGTCTGGGTAGGAGTATTGATTGCTTTCCTCCCTTGACAAATGGCATAGGAATTTCTAGTACTGTGATAGCTTGTCTTCTTAGAGAAGTCTTTTGGCTCAGAGTCACCTCAAATTCTCTAAGTCTTGTGTCCAATGTGTGTTTTGTCCAGCCATAGGGACTCACTTCCAACTTCTAGGAGGTAACCTAAGGCAAAGGCCATAGATTACATCAATATAGGAATAACCTTTATTCTAAATCTAAAAACTTGAAAGGAAGCTTCTCCTGCCTGGCACTAGAGATTTATTAAGCAATCTATTACTTTTGGAGGAAGTATCACTCCAAGTGGAACAAATTAATTTTGTTGAATATATATATATACATATTTATATACATGTATATGTATAATTATAAGCAAATATAAAATGATGTGATTTATTCAGTATATCTTTTAAAAATATCATTGATGTTACTTATCCAGCTTCCCTTTCTTTCCTGCTGTATTTTCCTTGCTCAGTCCTCCTGAGTTAAAGTCTCTCTCCCTTTTTGTTCTTTTTCCATCTTAATATTACCCTGATTCTATGTTACCGTCTTTAGAGTACCCCACCATTTCTCATTTCTGCAGTTATTCCAGATTATATACTCACATCTGAAGATTTGCACCTAAGAGGAATAATTTAAGGAGAATATGCAGTAGTTTTTCTTTCTGGGTCTGAATTAGCTCATGCAATAAAATATTTTCTAGTTTTATGAATTTACATAAATATTTTATGATTTCATTTTTCTTTAAAGCTGAATTGCTGTTCTTTTGGGAGGGTTCCCATCTCCTAAAAGGCCCCTGCTGTAGAGGCTATAGCCTCCCACCTAACCTGGGAAGATCACATTTCCCAGAAGCGCTCATTGTTCCACGAAAAGGCCACATATGCACAAAGAGTACAGCGTCCCGCTGGACCACATTTCCCAGAAGCACCCAGCCTTGGTTGAAAAAGCCACACATGCGCAGGACACACATTTCCCAGGTGTGCCTAGCCTCCTTTAAAAAGCCGAAGACGCCATTACCCTATCCTGTTCCTCACTGTCATCACGTCCCTCCCCCCCCCATTAAAGTTCGGCCATGTGGGATCGTCGTGTCTCGTGTTTCCTTTCCGATTCTGAGGAAGAAACATTTTGGTGCAGTGTGATTCTTCGATCGGCTTGCCCTGGACCCGAGGCCACGACTCCGGTCTTGGTGTCATTGGAGCTGCGGGCCTCCCTGGGATGCAATCGGAACAGAGGACCTATGGCGACCCCATGTGTTCCACTTGTCTGAACATGGCCCTGCGCGACCACCACCGGCTGATTCGTGAATTTTTCCTTCGGCTAGCTTACCGCCCCCTTTACCCGGAGATTGTATGTTTGAGCTCCTGGCTTTCTCTGGTGTTTCCTGGGGTCGGGCACTAGTGTTCACTCCCGGCTTTTCATCCTTGGCTGAACCCATCTCATCACCCGCACCTGGAAGCCCAGGGCTTCCAGTTCTCCCTTTTCTCTTCCTTTTCTGTTCTTTCCTGTCTTATACAGCTCGGCCGCAACGTGCGGTCCCAGCCTAGGCTGTTTCCCTCCTACCCGGGACTTTGTCTCCCATCGGAGGCTGGAATCGATTCAGTCAGGATATAGCACTGCCTCCTGCAGACTCGGAAGCCTGTTTGCAGGACTTGCAGTGTTCATTGCATCTAGCCTTACGGTTTCAGGTGCCTTTTTGTGGGTGTTTTCACGGTTTTAACTACGGGTGCGAAGTCTTCGAAAGCTGTCCCCCCCCATCCTCCCCCCCCCCAGGCGAGCTATTGGATGCCCTTCGGCCTCACACTTTAATTCCTTCCCCTAAGTTATCCTCACTCGTCCGTCTCTGCTCAAAGAAGTGGCCCAGGTATTCCTTAGAGGGTAATTGCAAATGGCCTCCTAACTGCTCCTTTGACCCTGACATTTTACAGGAGTTAGCTAACTACTGCCATCGTTCAGCCAAATGAAAGGAACTTCTCTATATCATGGCTTTCTTTTACATGACCCTTGAAACTGACCCCTCCGTTGTCACTCATTGTTCACCTGCTCACATGTTTTTAGCTATGCCATCTCCCCTGGAACCCTCTGCTCCTGCCATGGACCCCGTGGACGAACCTCCATCCCCCCCGGCCTCGAAGAGCCACCTCCTCCCACTCTGCCCGGTCGAGCGACACCTCACCTATGCCTCCTTCCTCCAAAGTTTCTTCTAGACACAGGAAGAACTCATCTGAGTCTTCCCCTCATAATGCCTCTAAACATCCCACTTCTAGGTCTTCGGAAGTCCCACGTAAATCTTCTTCCAGGTCACTTAACAGTTCTCCTTCTAGGTCCCCCCAAAAATCCCGTTCCATATCTAAAAGGGCCTCACCTAGCTCCTCCAAATCCGCTTCCTCCCGCTCTCTCTCTCCCTGCCACAGGTCACGCAGGCAGCCAGAAGCCTCTTCATACTTATCTTCCCCATCCCCCTCCCGCCCTACTCTGCCCCCTCGAGCTTACAAAGCCCCTTAGGGTTCTCCTTCCTCCCGCCGTCTTGCACTGGCACCTTCCTTCACCCCTCCGCTCACGCATTCACGTGCCGCCACGTAGTCTAATCCTAGCCAAGCCAAGCCTGCTGCCATTCTGCCGCTGAGGGAGGTGGATGTTGCAGACAAATTGGTGAGGGTCCATGTCCTGTTTGCCTTTTCCGAGCTTTCCCATATATCCAAATTGCTTGGATCCTATACGTCTAATCCTACCACTTTCATAAAAGAATTCCAATATATAACCCAATCATACAACCTTACTTTCCATGAAATTTTTATGATCCTGTCTAATAACTTATTTCCCGGGGAGCATAGGCGAGTCTGGCAACAGGCCAGACAACACGCGGACAAAGTTCACCAAACTCTAGCCTCCTATCCTCCAGGGTCAGAGGCAGTCCCAAACCAAGAACCACACTGGGATTATAACACCCCAGGTGGGATCTTGGCCAGAGACTGGTTTTTAACTTGCCTCATGACAGGTCTCCGCAAGGCTGCCCTCAAACCGGTAAACTATTCTAAACTCTCAGAAATTATTCAGGACACTAAGGAAAAATCCTTCTGCATTTTTGGAACGCCTTACAAAAGTTCTGTTGCAGTTCACAAACCTGGACTCAGAATCCCCCGAGGGCACACAGCTCCTCATGACCCATGTCTTCAACCAATGTTACTCAGACATTAAGTCCAAGCTCAGACGTTTGGAGAATGGTCCCCTTACCACACAGGCACAGGTCCTGGAGGTGGCTTTTAAAGTGTACCATGTGAGGAACGACAAGGCTCCTAATCACTGCCACGTGATAACCACACCTGCCCGGCCAGGCGAGGTGACAGACCCGACTCATCCTGTTCGTGTTGCCCCACCCCCGCCTCACAGGGTGCATGAGCCACCAGACCCATGCTTCCAGTGTGGTAAGACAGGTCACTGGGCCCGGGGATGCCCTAATCCTCATTGTGGCCCCAGGGACCCCTGCCCAAGGTGGCACAGGGAAGGTCACTGGCCTGTAGACTGTCCTCGTGCATTTGATGACACGGGGGCAATGGACCTAGAGAATTCCCAGGCTGACCTATTGGGCTTGGCCCTGGAAGACTGAAGGTGCCTGGGCTCCTCCTCTAACAATCCGACTGCCACACCCATCTGAAACCAGGAGCCATGGGTACTTCTCACTGTGTCAGAATGGCTCATCTCATTTTTCTTGGACACCGGAGCAACGTATTCGGTTCTGAGGGAATTCTGGGGGCCAACTTCTCCTTCAAACTCCCCTATTGTCAGGTTAGGGGGACAGCCTTATTTACCTCACCAGACTCCACCTCTCAATTGTGTGTTCTGAGGTATTTTTCTCACTCATTCATTTCTAGTTTTACCAACCTGCCCAGTCCCACTTAAGGGAAGAGATCTTCTGACTAAGTTGGGAGCCTCCATTTCTTTCGTGCCCCTCACTTGCTTTATTCCAGATTTGTCAGTGATGCAGCTGCTTCTTCTCCTGGCTCCATAATCTTCTGACACTAACACGTTCTTTTCTCTTCCAGCCTCCCAAGTGGATCCTCTGGTGTGGGACACCCAAAATCCCACCGTTGCTAAAAACCATCCCCCCCGTTGTTATTCAGTTAAAAAAAACCCACCAAGTATATTACTCAAGCTCAGTACCCCCTCTCTTCCCAAAGCCTCAGAGGACTAAAACCCATAATTTCTGACCTTTTGAGAAAAGAGCTGCTCCGCCCCACCTCTTCTTCCTTTAACACCCCTATACTGGCTGTTAAAAAAACTAACAGGACTTATCGTCTGGTTCAGGACCTCCGGCTTATTAATTCTGCTGTTGTTCCTTTGCACCCAGTCGTCCCTAATCCCCTCACCCTTCTGTCTAACATCCCTCCAGGAACCTCCCACTACTCAGTTTTGGACCTCAAGGATGCCTTTTTCTCTATTCCTCTCAGCTCTCAATCGCAAAACATCTTTGCCTTCACCTGGACAGATCCTGATACTAATTCCTCCACACAACTAACCTGAACCATTCTCCCCCAGGGATTCCGGGACAGCCCACACCTCTTTGGCCAAGCTCTGGCCTCTGATCTGCTCTCACTGTCCCTCCATAAATCAAAACTGGTACTCTATGTCGATGACATCCTGCTGTGTAGCCCATCTTTGGAGACCAGCAGGACTGATACTACTGCCTGATTAAATTTCTTATCCAAAAAGGGCTATGGAGTCTCACCTTCCAAGGCTCAGTTGTCTACCAATCAGGTAACGTATTTGGGGTTAACCATAACTCCAACCCAAAAGGCTATCACTCTGGAGAGGAAAAAACTAATTCAATCTCTTACAGTTCCTTCCACCAAAGAGGAGGCCTTATCGCTCCTGGGAGTGGCTGGTTTCCTGCGTTCCTGGATCCCCTTCTCCCTCCTTGCCCACCCCCTATATGAAGCAGCTCTCGGCTCTCTGCATGAGCCTCTTCTCGATCCCATTACCAAACCCTTTTGGAGACTCCAACAAGCCCTTACCCAAAGCGCCAACTCTCCATCTTCCAGATTTAACCTGCCCCTTTTCTCTTTACATAGCAGAGAAGGAGGGCTATGCCCTGGGGATCTTAGGACATCAATTGGGACCTTCTTTCACACCTGTAGCTTACCTGTCAAAGAAGATGGACCTCACCACTTGGGGCTGGGCACCCTGCATACATGCTTTGGCAGCTGCTGAACTTCTTATTCGTGAGTCAAAGAAACTAACCTTCGGAGCACCCACCACAGTCTTCTCTCATCATAACCTGTCCAACCTCTTAACTTACAAAGGCTTACAGACCCTACCCCCTTCTCAAGTTCTTTCCCTTCAGGTGGCACTGGTGGAAGATGCCAGTCTCACATTTCAATGCTGCCCACCCCTTAATATCTCAAAACTTCTACCTCAACCTAATGCTAATGATTCCCCATCCCACTCCTGCATTGAGGTCCTAGAGGACCTACTACCTCACCCCTCACATATACAGGAGGGCAGGCTGTCGCAGGCTACTCATACCTGGTACACGGATGGCAGCTCCTTTCTATGTGATGGGACTCGCAGAGCAGGCTATGCCATAGTATCAGACATGGAGATAGTTGAGGCAAAGGCACTCCCTGCTCATACTACTAACCAGCAGGCTGAGCTGATAGCTCTCACCTGTGCCTTTCAGTTAGCAGAGGGACAAGCTTTAAATGTTTACACAGATTCTAAATATGCATTTCATATCCTGCTGTCTCACATGGCTATCTGGAAGGAGTGCGGGCTTCTCATGACAAAAAGAGGATCTATTACTAACTCAGAGCATATTATGGGCCTACTAAAAGCTTTCCATCTCCCTAAAGCTATAGGAATTATTCACTGCCGGTCTCATCAGTCTGACAGTTCTATTGTTTCCAAGGGAAATAATGGGGCTGACAGAGCGGCTAAGACAGCAGCACTCCAGAGCCCAGATCTGCCTCAGTTACCTCAGGGAGTCCTTACAGCACAGCCCACAGCCTCGCAGACACCTACTGACACCCAACAGATCCTGTCCTACCTACACCAGCTCTTTCATCCTAATAACAAAGCTCTACTTCATTCTGTCAGGTCTCACCTTCAACCCACGCCTGAGGATATCAGGTTCCTAAAGGCTATCACTGCCTTCTGTCAGATCTGCCAAAAGTCAGATCCCAGGACCAAATACCATAGCTTCCCTTTCCCTACTCACCAGGCCAGAGGCTCCCTCCCGGGAACTGACTGGCAGCTGGATTTTACTCATATGCCCACAGTCAAAAAAATTAAATATCTCCTGGTCTTGTTGGATACAATGTCTTGGTGGGTCGAAGCCTTCCCCACCACTAACAAGAGAGCCCAGACAGTCTCTGATGTGCTTCTCCGAGAAATCATTCCCTGGTTTGGACTTCCAACTTCTCTTCAGTCAGATAATGGCCCTGAGTTTAATTCTCAGATTTCTCAAAACCTGTCTAAGGCCCTTGGTATCCTATGGAATTTCCACATCCCGTACCACCCTCAGTCTTCAGGTAAGGTAGAAGGAACTAACCACTCTTTGAAGGACACTCTCATTAAAATGTTACAGGAACTTCACCTTGACTGGGTAAGGCTCCTGCCTCTGGCTCTTCTCAGGCTTAGGACTCTCCCAAAGGGCCCCCTTTTCATTTCACCCTTCGAACTCTTGTATGGGTGGCCGGTTTTAACCCTCGGCCTCCCACCGTTAACCTCTCCCCTTCCTGACCACCTGCTCACCCCCCTACTATCCCATTTATGCTCACTACTGTGGGACTTCACAGATTACTCGTTACCTCAAACATGTGCTAACACATGTCCACCACCGGTTAAAATAGGAGATCAGGTATTATTCTCACCTCCAGGCCAATGTCCCTCACCCCTTTCCCCTACATGACATGGTCCCCTCAGAGTAATTCTTTTAACTCCCAGAGCTGCCAAGCTCGAGGGAACTCCTCACTGGATTCACCTGTCACATCTTAAACTGTTCACTTCCACGGCTCAAGACAATCCTCCATACACGGTAATTCAGACAGAACCTTGTTCTCTTAAGTTCCAGAGGACACCAAGTTCAGCCCCCTCTACTCCAGTCTAAGGGAAATAGTGGTCCCATCCTTCACTTAATCCTCTTGTGCTAACACACCCTCCCTTCTCCTCTAAATTTCTAAATAAATATCCAGGTGTCGTTACAGAAATCATCAGACACGGCGCCAAAGGTTCAGGTGGTAAGCAAATTCTTAACAACTTCCTTGACATAACAGGTATGCCACTGACTGCAGCAGTGTTTCCTGCATGTTGAAGTATGCATGGTTAAAATCTGTTTCTTTTAAGACATTTTCTTTAAGCTCCAAGAAGCCAGCCTGACCCACCTGAACGAAGCAGGCCCAAATGGAACAAGTATCATTAATGGAATAAGTATCATTCAATTTTTTTTTTTACCATTCTTAACCCCAAACCTCCTAAAGCCCCCCTACCCCAAATCTCCCCTTTAATTTCCTAAACCTCCTAAAGCCCCCACCCCAAATCTCCCCTTTAATTTTTTTTCTCTCTACTAATGCAACTTTTGTTTTCCAGCATCTTACGATGACCCAGCTACTCAAAAGCCAGACAGATGTGAATTCAATCAGCTACCTCAGAATGTCAGCGAACAGGACATGATCAACAGGACATCACCAGGACATATCGGATATTCCCCAGACCCCTCGACACCCAAAGCCAGCAGGAAGCAGTTATGAGAGACCGGGCTACACCCCCATTCCCTACCCATTAAGACCCTCACCCCCCAATTTTTTAATAAAACCAAAAGGATGGAATGTTGTTCTTTTGGGAGGGTTCCCATCTCCCAAAAGGCCCCTGCTGTAGAGGCTATAGCCTCCCACCTAACCTGGGAAGACCACATTTCCCAGAAGCGCTCAGTGTTCCACGAAAAGGCCACATATGCGCAAAGAGTACAGCGTCCCACCAGACCACATTTCCCAGAAGCACTCAGCATTTGACAAAATAGCCACACATGTGCAGGAAACACATTTCCCAGGTGTGCCTAGCCTCCTTTAAAAAGCCGAAGACACCATGGCCCTACCCCTTTTCATCCCCAGTTCCTCACTGTCATCACGTCCCTCCCCCCCATTAAAGTTCAGCCATGTGGGATTGTTGTGTCTCGTGTTTCCTTTCTGATTCCGTGGAAGAAACAGCATGAATAATATTGATGGTATATATATATGACATATTTTTATTATCTATTCTTCCACAAGCTACAGTTGGGTAGTTTCCTTCTCTTAGTTCTTGAGAATAGAAGAGCCACATACAGTTGAGCAAGAATCTGTAGAGCCTGAAGCTGAGTTTTGTAAATGTATTCACTGGGACTGGGCTCCACAGTACTGCATTTGATTCAGTAGAATCACTCCTTGGAGTACGTTGGAAGGACTGGACATCCTACTCCACAGATACTTGCTCAGTCACATTCATTGCTGTTCTAACCACAACAGATAGAAAATGGAAACAACCATTTACTAAAGTGGAGGTTTTAGGTTCTTCTCCAAGATCCATGACATCACTAACCCTGGGAAGTTGGCTGAGTTTCCATTATGAGACATGATTTTCCATCTAGTGATAGTGGTTGGTTATCCCAAACTTATGCTGGGGTATAGTGCCAGGCTGCAGTTTGTTTTCGTTCATAGGTGTCAAAGCTGGATAGGATTGTTGGTTGCTTCTTTCCTTTGGAAGTTTACATGATATCTTCTCATATCATGAAAGCTAGTCTTCAAGCAGAAGGATTTCTTTCTTTCTTTCTTTCTTTCTTTCTTTCTTTCTTTCTTTTTTTTTTTTTTTCGAGACAGGGTTTCTCTGTGATTTTGGAGCCTTTTCCTGGAACTAGCTCTTGTAGACCAGGCTGGTCTTGAACTCACAGAGATCCGCCTGCCTCTGCCTCCCGAGTGCTGGGATTAAAGGCGTGCGCCACCATCGCCCGGCAAGGAGAAGGATTTCTAGTCAGTTCCACCTCCGTGACTGTACCAGTAGAGAAAGGTAGGCCCATTTTTCACCATTGTCTGGTGCGAGACTAACAGGCTAAATTTGCACCTTCCACACAGGAGGTGGTCGCCTGGCCTTTTTGAAGCTAAGTAAACTCGGAGCCATCTTAACTGAGGTGGTCAGGATATGATAAGGTGATCCTGTTCCTTCCATTTTAACTATGAGGTCTCCTGGGGAGGAGGTCTTTTATGACGACATGACCAAGTGTTGACCTGTAAATGTGACTTGAGTCATCCCGATACCTAGGCAACAGAATGTTAATGAAGCAACAGAATGTTAATGAAGCCTTTTGTTATCTGCTCCCCCAGTTTACAATTATAGAAAAAGTTGTGAAAAAATCAACATGGGTTATTTCAAAGAATCTCTGAAACTCCCTCCTGAAGCTGTCTTGTGATTTTTCCCTGTCTCTACCCTGGTGAGAAGTGTTTTTTGTTGAGGCTAGTCCTCAACAACAGGCCTCTGAGCCTGTGTCTGAAGGGCATGGGGTCTTCAACAATCACACTGGCCTTTCAACCAAGGACAATAGAAACAGCCTATAAAGCTGCAAGAGTCTCTTAGACAACTCTGACCAACAACTTAAAAGAGGGCTTCTCATGCTTGCTGTTGGGGCTTTTGTTAGGTAGTCTTTGGCTTTTGGAGGGAGCATTGCCAGTCAAGATAAAAAAGTTTCTTTTAAACCACTTTTAAAATATATGCGAAAACTTCTTTTAATACATATGTGACAATGTCTTTATACACACATATAACAAACTTATATGTGTTATACACATTTTAGGTAGATAATTAATAATATGATTGCATATTACCTTTAACAGCAATCCTTACTGTTATTTTACTCTCTTTCCCCTGTTTTCTGTATTCTTTTTCCTTTCCCTCCCTAATTACAGCCCTCTATTTTCCCATTTCTTTGATCAGATCACTTGATTTCTGCTATTCATCTCTCTATTGATCCCCCACCCCTTATCTACCACAGTAACAGTCCCTTTTCACTTTTCTGATTTTTACTGTTATTCTAGGATATGTGCATTACATTCCAAATCTGATGATAATTCAGAGCTAGGAATCTCATATGAGGAAGTACATAATATGTTTGTCTTTCTGGTCCTGGGTTACACCACTTAATGTGATATTTTTTGAATTCTATTCATTTACCTGCAAAGTTCTTAATTTCATATTTCTTTACAGCTGAATGGGATTCGGTAGTGCATATGTGCCACATTTCCGCTATCCATTCATCAATTGAAGGACATTTAGATTGCTTCCATTTCCAAGGTATTTGAATAGAGTTGCAATGAACGTATCTGAGCAAGTGTCTCTAGAATAGGATGCTGGCTCCTTTAGACATGTGCCAAAGAAACAATTCACCACACTGATTCCCAGAATGGCTGGAACAATTTGCAATCATACCCATAGCAAATGAAAGTTCATTTGATCCCCACATCCCCTACAGCATGTGATGCCAGGTTTTTTTTTTATATATATTTGTTTCTGATCATGTTAAGACAACAATTCACAATTTATTGGCATTTTCTTAGTTGCTAGGAAAGATGGACAATTTTTGAAATAATTCTTCACTATTATTTTTCTTTGAGAATTCACTGTTTAGGTTCAAAACCCATATTTTGCATGGGTCATTTGTTTTTGATTTTGTGTTTAGACATTTTTGTTTATCTGGATATTAATCTTTTGTCAGATGTATAGTTGGCAAGGAGTTTCTACTATTTTGTGGGTTTCCTCTTTACCCAATGATTGTTTCCTTAGCTGTGCAAAAGCTTTTTTAGTTTTATTAAATTCTACTTATCATATGTTGACCTGAACTCTTGGGCAAATTAAATCCTAGTCAGAAATTTCTTTTCTACATCTATATCATGTAGGGTACTGTTTCATGTACCAGTGTCAGGGGCTCATGTTTAATTTTTAGGTCTCTGCTCCACATGGAGCTATTTTGAGAAGATATGTGTTTAATTTTATTCTTCTACATGTCGACATTCAGTTTCCCCAGCACCATTTATTGAATATACTTTCTTTTCTCCTATCTATGTTTTTAGAATCTTCCTCAAATCACATGCACTTATGTTTGGGCCTTTGATTAACCTTTTTTTGCAGGATTTCTTGGAATTTGTCCTACAGGTTTCATTGTGTTCTATTGCCAGTTTCAGCAGTTCCAGGAATTTTTTCTTGATTATTTATATGACTCATTTTATCATTCAATATTGGATCCCATGACCTTCATGAGTTTGTGCACTTACTGGAAATTTGTTTGCTTTTGATTTTTTTATGGCCTTATATTCAGGTAGCATACATGATGTTATTAGATTATTTTTAAAGTGGCTAAGATTTGTGTGTGTGTGTTTTCCAGGGTGTTGTATGTTTTAGAGAAAATTCCATGGACTGGTGAATGGCATGTATATCCTTTGGTATTTGTATGGAATATTCTGTAGATAACTGTTATATTCCTTTTATGTAAGATGTCATTTAAAATTTATGTTTCTTTGCTCATATTTTATTCATACAACCTCTTACAGAAAATTACATATGAAATGACTTATCATGTAAGAAAGTGCTTGGTTATTACAAATAATGCTGCTATGAACATAGTTGAACAAATGCTTTTGTCATATGATAGGACATCTCTTGGGTATATTCCTAAGAGTGGTATTGCTGGGTCCAGGGGTAGGTTGATCCCCAATTTCCTGAGAAACCGCCACACTGATTTCCAAAGTGGTTGCACAAGTTTGCATTCCCACCAGCAATGGATGAGGGTACCCCTTTCTCCACAACCTCTCCAGCAAAGGCTATCATTGGTGTTTTTGATTTTAGCTATTCTGACAGGTGTAAGATGATATCTCAAAGTTGTTTTGATTTGCATTTCCCTGATAGCTAAGGAGGTTGAGCATGACCTTAAGTATCTTTTGGCCATTTGAGCTTCTTCTGTTAAGAATTCTCTGTTCAGTTCAGTGCCCCGTTTTTTTTAATTGGGTTAATTAGCATTTACAAGTCTAGTCATACTGATGAATATCTTGCATATCACCATAGAACCTTCATCTAGCGATGGATGGAGATAGAGACAGAGACCCACACTGGAGCATCGGACTAAGCCCCCAAAGTCCCAATGAGGAGCAGAAGGAGGGAGAACATGAGCATGGAAGTCAAAACCACGAGAGGTGCACCCATCCATATAGACAGTGGGGCTGATCTATTGGGAGCTCACCAAGGCCAGCTGGACTGTGACTGAAAAAGCATGGGATAAAACCGGACTCTCTGAACATGGCAGACAATGAGGGCTGATGAGAAGCCAAGGACAATGGCATGGTGTTTTGTTCCTACTTCATGTTCTGGCTTTGTGGCAGCCTAGCCAGTTTGAATATTCACCTTCCTAGACCTGGATGGAGGGGAGAAGACCCTGGACTTTCCACAGGGCAGGGAACCCTGACTGCTCTTTGGACTGGAGAGGGAGGGGGAGAGGAGTGGGGGAGGGGGGGTGGGCGGGAGGAGGGGGAGGGAAATGGAAGGCTGGGAGGAAGCAGGAATTTTTTTTAAATAAAGAAAATGAATAAAACACTATAAAAAATAAAAGGAGTTTATTTGGGAAAAAGTGCTTGGTTATTCCCATAACATTTGTGCCAATTTTGCACTAGTGTATCTTCTAAGAAAATCAATGTTGTAGATCAAAGGGTTTGTAGGTGGGAGAGCATGAGGGAGTGGGTGCCTCCAAGGAAGCACTGTCTTTCAAACACAGCAGAACTGATTTACATATGAGTTTACAGAAACTGGCACAATGCACAATGTCTGTACAATTTCAAACCAGATAAATCTCTAACACTGAGAAAGAATAGGGAACACAATATTGCACTCATAACTATGAACTTATTTACTATTGAACCTGTTAGGAAATGGAAACTAATTTTCTTTTTACCACACTCAAGTGCAAGCCCCTTGCCCAGGAGTAGTTGGCTAACACAAAACTGATTCCATGTTTGTTGTTTATTTGTGAACCACTTTTTCATTTTGTTTTATTTGGATTTTTATCTTACTAGACTTCTGGTTTTTGTTTTTCAGGGAGAGAGAGAAACAGACAGTGCCGGGGGCATTGGGAGGGAGAAAGATCATGAATTCGGGTGTGTAGGGAAATGGGAGATGTAGGGTAAAACGTATGAGCTTACTTCCCGGTTTTGAAAACATACCAATACCTGAGCTCATAAACCACCAATGCTTGCACTCTCCCCAAGATCAGGACGTGAAATTCCACCAATCCCTAACCCTGGAAATCTCACCCTGAAAAACTCTACCCTCAATTATTCCCATATACACCTGTCTCCCACTTGATTCTCTGCTGCTTCTCTCTAAAGCAGAGGCAGTCACCCTCTTGTGTCATGAAATACATTTCTTGTGTGAGGTTTGTTGTGCAGTGTGACTTTGTGGTATTCCTTGTCTTCTGATTGCCTCCTTTGGTTTCTAACTTCCAGGATACCTTTCTCTTTATATCAGAGACATTTGAATTGGAAAATCCTTCTTCTTCAGAGTTATAACACAGGAAGATTTTGGAGGAGTTGAAGAAGGGAAAAACATGAACAATATATACTTATGAAAAACAATAAAAATATTTTTAATGGGCCTGGCATCCAAACAGAGAGTTCTCAAAAGAAAAATAATAGCTAAGAAATAACTAGAAAATATTCATTGTACTTACTAATTTAGGGAAATTCAAACCAAAACAACTTTGATTTTTTATTTTACCTCAGTCAGAATGGTAATGATCAACAAAACAACAAGCAAGAAATGCTGGAAATTTAACCCTCATTCACCTTTGATGGTATTGCAGACTGATTCGGCTACTCTACAAATAACTGTGGAGAATTCTCAAATAAATAAAAGTAAATCTTCCAAAATTATCAGTTGTGACATGCTTTTCAGAAACTTAAATGTCCCCAAATTTGGTGTTGTTATGTAGCAGTTTCCTCTGAGGTTAAATCCCTTCATTTGGAGGGAAACATCTTAAGATACAGAATATAAAGGGTACGTAAAATAAAAGGATATTTAAGACAAGAAGACATGGAAGTGAAACTCGTCATCCTGCAGGGAAGCTCCATGGTAGACAACTCAAAACAGTTCCAGTAAGTTCCTAAAACTGACCAAATTCACTAAGTTCGTTCTTTCCCAAGATCATATAAACAGTAGAGGAAGAAATAAAGACTAGCAAATCAGCCTGAAAGAATCTGGGACTGCTGGAATGTCTAGAAAAAAAAAAAAAAGATCATCTGTCTGAAAGAGGCTCAGACAATCTGGGCCCCATGAGAAGGACATGCTCCAGTCTGTTGAGTTGCCTGTAAGGTATGCATTGTGCTCCAGGCTTCCATCTTTTGTGAGCTTAGCTGTTACCCATGGGGTAATAATTGCTGATGCTGTCTTTCCCTAAATTCCTGCTTCTGTAAATAACCCCTAACTCATATTACAGCAAGTAAACCCTGCAAAATGAATTGGTTCATAAAATTGGTATCTGTAATCTGATCTGTACCGACCGAGTTCCCTATCTGACATGAGTAGGTGTGTGTTTGTGTGTGAATACGTGTGTGTATGTGTGTATGTGTGTATGTGTGTATGTGTGCGTGTGTAGTTTGTATCCTCCCAGAATAAAAAATCTGTCATAGATGTACATATAGCTTTAGGATTGCAATGTCTTCTTTACTAATTGCTTCTTGATAAGATTAAAGTTCCATTCTTTATCACTTCTGATTGATTTTAGTTTTACCCTGTATTAAGAGAGCAGAGCTTGCTTCCTTCTTGGTTCTGTTTGTTTGGAAGACCTTTCTCCATACTTTTATTTAAGGCCATTCCTATCATTATAATGGAGTTTCTTGCAGATAACAAAGTTGGATTATGTTTCTTGATCCATTCAGATAGCCTGTGTATTATAATTGGAGACTTGACGTTATTGCAATTTAAAGTTATGATTGAAAGGTGTGTGGGAATTACAGTCATTTGTGTTTTTTTCTTTTCTTTTCTTCTTTATTTACTGTTTTTGTTCTTACTTGTAGTTTGTTTTTCAGTATTGTAACTTGATGTATTTTTTTCTACAGTCTCTTGGTTATTCTTATTCTTATCTTCAGTCCAGAGTATTACTTCTATTCTCTGTAGGTCTCATGTTCTGAACATGAACTCTTTTAGCCTATTGGTATCATGTAAAATTTATCTTCTTTTTTCAACAATGGCAGATAATTTTCTTGGGCACAGTAGTCTAGGGGAGTAATCATGGTATTTTACAACTTGAAGTGCATTCTTCTGGCTCTCAAAGTTTCCATTAAGAAATCAACTGTTATTCTGATGGATTTTCTTGCACATGTGACTTTTTTCTCTTTTTACTTTTGATATCTTTTCCCTGCATATATAGTATTTTAACTATGACATGCTGTAAAAGTTTTCTATTTATTTGGTGTTCTGTATACTTCTTGTATCTCTATGAATATATCCTTTCTCAGTTTGGAGGCATTTTCATTGATGATCTCTTAGAGGATCAGATCTCTGCTGTTGATCTGGAATTTGGGCTATTGCCAATGTTGTTGTTTACCCTACAGAGCTTGATGATAAGACTGCATTGGTAAAGATACAATATACTTGGGTCATAGAATATGGAGAAATCAATGCACTCAGATGGAAGGTCTATCCATACTACCTAGTTTTCCACTATAATGGAAGGAGCTAGGAACAGTACAAGAATAGGAAATTAGTCACTGATATTACCCAGCCATGAATTCTGAGAGATGGTTCAGCAGTTAAGAGCTGTGCTGGTCTTCTGGAGGATGTACCTGGTTTTGACTCCTAGTCTACACATGGCATCCCACAAACATCTGTAAGTTTAGTTCCAGGAGTTATGATGCCTTCTTCTGGCTTTCATAATACCCAGGCATGAACAGTTTTCACAGACATGAATATAGGCAATACAATTTTTAAAAAATGAGAAATGCATACTGGTGAAATACTGACACAGACATCATGGGTAAAGTCAACCACCTTTTGATGGATTTCAGGCCTTGCCCACCAAATGAAACTTGTATTTGGCAGAGGAATTAGTGGCAAGAACCTATGGCTCAATAGGTCCTAGGCCTTAGAGGAGAGCCCACTGAGTGGACATAGTATTAAACTGACTCAAAAATCATTACACGCTTAGCACTTCAAAATATTTTCTTATTTAATTCTCATAAAAATCTTATTCTTTAGCAAGCATATTGGTACTTTGGTTACTAAGCTAAAAACTAGGGATTAGAGGAGATTAAACACATTACAAGTGACAAAGAAACCATTTAAACTCAGCAGTCTTGAGTTAGGATCTGCATACTAGTGTAAGCAAGTTGTTGGCAACAGATGGGAATGTCCAGTATCTATGCATAGACTAATAAATGGAAAAGGAGGCAAAACAACTAGGAAAAGTAATCTTTGGGGTATATTAAGAGAAGTCTACAAACAGGAGACATAGAGAAGAAATGATGAAAGGAGGTGCTTAAGATATGTTTGCCCAAAGCCAAAAGCGCTGCAAACAGACTCAATTCGCTGGAACAAGGGCCAAATCAGCAAGTTTCCTGCAGAGACTTCCAGTTTGTAACATTAAAGAGGTAGTTGATGATGTCTACCAGAACTCTCTCAGAGGCGTAGTGAGAGTGTGTACTGGATTGCAGTGAGTCTTACTATGAAAAAATAGAGCCACAGGAGAGACTGTGGAGGTAATTAAGGAAAAGCAAGAAAAGCATTTGCAATCTGAGAAGGATATAAAGTGGGAGAACATTTTCCTCAACTGAGATGGTGTAGGAGAGTATAGAGAGACAGATATTTAAAGAGTGTGTGAGAGGATGCAAAACGACATGTGAGGCCAGACCAGGGGCATGGCAAAAAGACCAAAACCATAGGTCACACTAAGCTCAGATGAAAGTGGAGTGCATGGATTTGGACATGCTTTGATGGGTCTTGCTGGACACATCTTTAGTTAACAGTTTTATTATGGGAGACCACAGAACAGCAGAAGCTTTTCAGACTTTCTACTCCAAGGCTCTTGAAAGGTGACATGAACAGTAACAACTTCTAAGCACTTCTTATCACCAAGACACTCTTGAGAAGTTTAAATTTGTTCTCTCACTTAGTATGGGCAATGACCCTAGGGATTAAGAGACTTTTCATTCTCATTTTACATGCTAAAGAAGTGAAATTTAGAGGTTTGCTATAATACTAGTAAACTGAAGTCACTGTTTTCAAATACAAAGTATACGAACATAATATAATCTGTGCTTATCATAAGAATGCTACAGCTGTATATTACCTTAAGATAGTAATTGTCTACCCAACCTGAAGTGTGTTTGGAACAGAATCTTTTTTTTTTTTAATTAATTTATTTATTTATTAAACATTTCTGTCT